TTCACCTTTAGAAATGTGGAAAAACATATCACATTCACAGCAAAAAAACATATTCTGCTATATTTTTCCCTCTTAAAAACAAAATTTATGTATCCTGTGATAAGAAGTCGGTTTAAAAAATTGCTTTGAGAATCAGTACAGAAATTTCGGTTTTGACAGCCACAAATATCTGACTGTTCTCATGCTTAACATTATCTGTTTGTGCCACCATAGGCTAAACCTGTAAGCCACTGCAATTAGCCACATTATGCAAAGTCAAGCCAAGACATTTTTCGCTGCTCACCACCAAGTTAGTTGCATATTTTAAAGCTAACTCCCCACCATATTTTCTACCAGGAATTGTAATATTAGTGCTATACAGTATAAATGTGTATTTAATCTGTAATTCTTTGTAAGCTGAGGCTTATGCAAAACACTAAAAACAGCAGCAACATTATACCACGCCCATCTCCACCATACTGAATGGAATATTCTTACCATGGCACTGACAATGCTTTATTGGACCATCAACATTATTTTATTCTAGGTTATCTAGTCATATCACCATGATACAGATATTTCCACATGCTTACAATGTAACACATGAATGTGTTCTGTGAGATGTATCAATGCAACATCACGTGTTCATGCTGGCAGCACTCATAACAGATTAGTGTTAACCCTTTCAAGACGGGTCATGGTTGAAAGTCCATGTCATCTCATTTGTTGACTTACATTCAAAATTTTATTGAACTACTATTTCATGAATTTATGTCAATAACTTTGGCATCAAACTGTAGATTATAATTCAAATTTTAGTTCTATATTGTTACGACAGCAAAAGTCACGTGACACTGGGAGCATGCGCACTCGAGTTTCTAGAAGGATCATGAATTTTCCTGGCAACTCTAGTTTGTTTGAGGCACCCTCTTTTTTCTAGTATATAAACCTTGGAATGAAAACCAGCGAGATGGCAGATAGAATTGCATAGATAGATATAGAGATAGATAATTGAGTTAAGCAAAC